TCAGGTTTCTTGCAGTTTATTTCCTATAGAATGCTCAGCAGTGTGCCACACTCCACCCCCAAATAGCAAAGTTGTGGCTGCAAAACACGTGCAGTTTCATTCAACTGTTTAAAACACTCAGCACAGTACCCCATGCTACTTCTGCTTCATAAAGGCACACAGATGTAGTATCCTTCAGCTTCAAACAGGCTACAAGTACCAAGTGAATCTGTTTCCAAGTTTTACTAGACATCAGCTAAATAGTATTAGAAAGAAATAACTGGTGTATTATGTTGGCAGAAAGCAGTTCCAGTTCCAAGGTAAAAGCACACCTTACATAGGTCAATGTAGCAACAGATTTGAGTCTCACAGGCAGTGTGCTCAGTAGTGAAGGTGTTGACAGTTTGTCAAGCACAGAGCAATATCAAACTCGTATTTCAGCTCTGATGCTGGAGCTGAGCTGAACAGAAACTAATAGAAAAGCAGCTCTTAAATGACCTTCCCATGCTTCTGGGCTTTTTGCTGCAAAGCTCACACCTTGGCCCCCAAAATATTAGCATTAACAGATATGAAATACAAATATAAGTGCTCAAAAATGAGGCATTTCAGCTCCAGAAAGTGGAATGTTTGTTAAAAGTATGACACACAGAAGCTGTATTGGAGCAAACTTCCCATGAACAAGGCTAGACATTCAGGAAGGAAAGTGTTTGCTTACAGGAATAGTCATTTCTAACTCGGGTTTGGTTTTTTAAATCTTTAACTGACTATAGGAGTTCTTGGAAGCTTGAGGGTTTAAGTGGAACTGTTTGTCTATTTACTATGGCAATTCATGGTTTAGCTGCTTATTTTTACACACTAAGTCATGTTGCACATTAACTGGAAAAATGAAATCAACTTTCTAGTTGAGTTTATGCCATTGTCAGCTTTAAATATTTCAGTATCAAATCTTAGATATGATCACAGCAAAGGCATGTCATGAACCATTAACTTTTCTTTTGTATCTATCAGCTTTGTAGAATGATAAATGCCTGATTTTACAAATAATTATAACATAAATGTGTAAATGATGACAAAAGGAGTGTTACAGATCAACCCACTGGTAGTCCTGAAGTCCTGTGAAGGGACACAGGTGACTGTGTCAAGTCTATACAAGCTTAACTTATAACATGTAACACACTGACCTCTAGAAAAGACAGTGATAATTTTTCCCCATACTAATAATAATATTAAAAAAGCAAAGTATTTCTGAAGAAAAAACTTGGAAACCAGAGAAAACACTATTCAAAGAAACATTAAAAAGCCCAATATATCACTAACCTGGACAATCTGTTTTCACTAAAGGCTCACAAGACAACTTTCCAGTCTAATATAGCTATAAAGACCAAAACCTGCTTACTTCTCAGCAGCATTTAAACATCCTTTTAACTGCTGCACCCACTGAAGCCAGACTCCTCCCCTGACTTTCAAGAGAGACAGAGATTGTTTTCAAGTATAAAAACATCATACATTAAACTTCTGAGATACTATCAGGAAACATGGAACCTAGTTCTGAGCAGGTATGAACACAGCCTTTAATACTCTATACATATGTTGTTCAAAATGTGCTTTAGATTTTGCTTTAGGAAAAATGGGCTCAGAAATGAATTTTGGACTGAAACCTTGTTTTCAAACTTCAGTGACTCACTCATGCAATACACAGATGTTTCTTGATTACCCAAAATAACATTCATAGGTCTTTCACATGCAAATTCTTGTTAGTAAAATATATAAAAAATAATCCTGTAGTAGTTAACGTTTTTCAGGGGTTTTCCATACAACATGTGGGGTGTCTGCTCTCTCCCAAATGTTTCAATTTATTTTTAGCATACAAAAAAAAGTCTAAAAACTTAAAACTCTTAATTCTGAGGAATTTCTCAGTTGAGTGGGATTGAAATCTAAGTGCTGTGTTTGCAGTAAGGGAGTTGCTTAGAAAATTAAAGCCATTTACCAAAGGACAAGAAGCTGTCATGTCTTCCATGTCAATGTGTTTTGCAACTTTTTATAAGAGGAAGTAGTGACAGGACACGGGAATGGCTTTAACCTGCCAGAGGGGAGATTGAGATGAGCTCTTGGGCAGAAGCTCTTCCCTGTGAGGGTGCTGAGGTGCTGGCACAGGGTGCCCAGAGAAGCTGTGGCTGCCCCATCCCTGGCAGTGTTCAAGGCCAGGTTGGACACGGGCTTGGAGCAACCTGCTCTAGTGGAAGGTGTCCCTGCCCGTGGCAGGGGTTGGGGCTGGAGGAGCTTTAAGCTCCCTTCCAACCCAAACCACTCCATGAGTTTAGGTTTCTAGAGTTAGAGCAAAACATGGGTAACCTTAAGCAGAAAATGGTGTAATGCAGCTATGTCAGACCAAGATGTAAGAGTGGTCCCCATCATCCCTGAGCTGTGCTCCGGGGAAGTGATGTGCTGTGCTGCTGTTGAGATCAGCGATGTACTTTAGGGTGCACACTAGTTCTTGATGCAACAGAATTTCTTAACTAGTACTTATATGCAATGTGTTTCCCATGGTGTCGAATATCAGCTGGAGATCCAGCTTTTCTCTCCCATTAATTTTGCTAGCAATAAAAAACACTTTTTCTCTGAGGAGTGAAGATGGGAGTTGTGGGTTGGGAGAATCAAAGTCAACAATGTAAACAGCTTCTGTGAGCACAGTTCTTGATAGAAATGGAGAAACAATACATTCTACTAGCTCCAGAGACATGCAGCAGACTCTGATCTGCAGTTCAGATCCTAGTACTTTAAATAATGGCGTTTACACCAATAAATTCAAGCACTGCTTGATATGTAAAACTCCTGGACATTACAGTACCTCCTTAAATTTAAAATTACATTTATCTATCTTATTTTTCCTATACACAATACATTTTCAATAATTATAAATAAATACATTACAAGCATTTAACCACATATATACACACACAATACTAAGAACCCCAAATGGCAAGTAGGTATTTTTGTTCTTAATGCTAAAAATCAATCGAAGTTTCCTGTAATCTTGTTAAACTCTTGTTTTGGAATAGCATACCTTGCTGCAAAGCACATCTGCCTAGCTCAATACATAAGCATGCATTAGAATGGACACATGCTAAAATAACTTGCCTTTTTTTTTTTTTTCCCCCAGTATCTTAATTTGTATTAGAAGGAAGTCAAAGATTTGTTTCAATTTGCAACAGAGAATTATCCTCTGCAGAAAGCTTTCCCTAATCATCAAAGATTGGATTAAAACAAGAGAAGAGTAACAAAACCCCCTCCTACTTGATTCCTTTGGTATGAATTGCTAACTTATTAGAAAGATATTAGCACTCCTTTTCTTTCTTTTAATTATTTAATCTGCAGTTAGTGTCTTCCTGCAGGTAGGAGCAGACACTGACCTTGGGGGAGGAGGAAATGGAACTGTATCAAAGTGCAGTGTGCAACAAACAGTAAAACTGATAATTAAGAATGCCCTTCAGGCATGAAAGTGAAAACTGCTTACACTGAAAGATCTGATGCTGACAAAGGTTACTGAAGTCAGTAGCTCTGTACTGCGTATTAGAGCACCTGCCATTCAAAAGTGTTTGAATGATAAATGGGCTTTGAAGATAAATAACATGGTGAGGTTGTGTGATTGTCCTGTCTGCGTTCACTGCCCAGTACTGGATCTGATACCAACCACCTCTGTCAGCACAAGAATGACTTGTAGTGCAGACGGGACTAAGGGTCATGATCCCATTTACTGACCTGTCACTTGAGCACTTAACTCGGACCTCCTGTAATAATATTTTTAGTTCCACTAAAAGGTGCTGCTGGGGAAAAGGAGGGAATTCATAGAGTTAAGCTTTGAGCATCTACAGGTGACTGTTGTTGGATTAGTCTCCTTAGATTGCAGTGTGTCTCCTGAGAAGAGGGACAAAGTTCTCCCCAGGCAGGAATTTGGCTGGTGGAGGAATCAATTTCTCTTGACTACACACAGAGTTTACTTTCTTAGCTGAAGTACCCATGTCAGGGCAATCCTGCCTGAACTCTGAATAGCTTCCACTGATCTAATCCTGCTAACTTACACTTTACATAAGTAATCCAGAACAATATAAAGCTGAAGCCTACAATGTCTGACCTTGTAGTCATCACTGAGATTACTTATTGTTGGGAGAGGAAATGTCTCTTCATACACAGGGTGTTTGGAGGATAAGCAAGAAACAACACCTATGTCTAACAACTGAAGGCTAGCTTCATAGCATAACTATTTGCCCCCAAAATAATATATTCTGTATCTGCCAAATACCATAAGTCATCCACCTTCCTAAATATTGACTTACCCTGTAGCTGCCAGGTAATTTATATACATGATTTCTTTATAACAACAAAAAGCTTAGAGACAAGTTATACAGGTCTAGTAATGCCATTCTTGTAAACTAGAACACTGGCCAGAGAAAGAGGCTCTCTCCCTCCCTTAACACAAATATCCTGCATACAGTTGCTCCCTTCACTTGACTGCTTATGACAATAATCAGCCACCTGCTTCCACTGGCATTAGCAGCTGATTTGCAGCCCCACTAGAACCTTCAAACCTTGCCAAACTGCCACTTCTTCCTTGCCAAGAAATAAACAGCAGATGCTAGTTTGACAATCTTATAGCCAGCATAAAGGCCAGGCATGATCTTTAGCAAATAAATCTTACCATCCATTAAAAATCTTCCAGCAACTTTTCATTCAAGTTATATCCCCCCCAAACTTTCTGTACTATCCAGATTTTGCAACCTGTTACTTGCCTTCAATCCTGTCATCTGAGCCCTTCCATGCTTTTTGTCATCTATTTCTTTTTTCTCTTAAGCATCTCTGCATCATCCCACATCAGTAGCTCTTAGGAGTTTCAGGGTTTCATTGATTGTGACATAATGAAACGTGCAAAATCTTTTGAGTAATCTTTAAGCCCTAGTTACTGGGATTCTCCCCAACAGTAACCAAGAATCCACCAACATTCCACCTCTTCTTTCCTCAGACTTTCACGGGATGCCATCCTTCCTTTGGCAACACTGCGAAGGAGGCACTCCCCAGTCATACATGTAGGAAAGCCTGAGCTTAACCTCCTCTTTACAGAGTTTTCCTTCTTTAGCCAGGGTCTGGTGCTTTTCCAGCATGTCCTCGATGCTTTGCTTATGAGTTACTATGTACTTATTGTTGCAACCTCGTGACTTATACTCAGTGTCAAAACGAGGGTCGTGCACTCTCTTCACGTCAATGGGAGCCAGCCACACGCCCAGGGAGACATCCTCGCTCTGCCACATGTTCAGGTAGTCCCTGCTAATACGCAAGTAGTGCACCAGATCGGCAGAAATCACATAGCCACCACCGAGCGCATAGGGTAGGTAGTAGTCACAGAGCACCCAGGCGCTCTCTTTCCATTTGCCACCAGATTTCACTCGACCACGGCCGGAAAAGAAGCCCCAGTAGAGGCGACGTGGCTCCTTGGCTCTCAGCTCTTCTACAAGCACGTCCAAGCGGACAAAGGTATCGTCATCGGCCTTCAGGGCAAACTGAAAGTCCAGGTGCAGATCCAGCCACACATACGTGGCCAGGACTTTAGCAGTCAGGTTCTCGTAGGAATCCCGCAGCTCTGGCAGGAGGAGGAGGTCTCTGTGCCGGCTCTGCTCCAGCTCCAGGCTACGGAGCTCCTCTGCCCC